CTAATTCGGTAGTTCCTCTAACCATCCACCCATGAACTGATGGTTTCACTGTCCAGCAAGTAACTTAGAGGAAAAACTTGACATTTTCTATACATAATTGTCTCGGTAATAAATCTTTGTCACACGCCAGCAACTGTAGCTGCTTGAAACGAAAATGATCGGACCATCAATGCTCTTCTGAATATGCAAAACCACCATGAAAAAAAACAGCAACTTACAACACTCTAATTCTTTTTAACGAAGTTCAGCTGACACAACACCGCATTTGTCAGACTAGATTCTTTCACGACTCTGCCGGTTGGATCAAGTAGTATGAAGCTTCACTGATATTTCTAAAATAACTACAATTAAAACATTTAAATGATATTAAGGCAAATTGATAATACGGAAAAATAAATGAAAATAAAAATAAAAAAATAAATTAGAAAAAATAATAAATAAAAAAATAATAAAAAAAATAAATATATATATTGAAATTATGCCCTGACGCTTTAAAGTAAAGTTTATTTTCTCTCACTGACTTTTGAAACGCGTCCTGTGTTCAAGCTAGCCGCATAAAACGCTTGATAGATATATTACGGTTAATCGGTAGTCAAGTTATGGTCAAAATATTATAACAACACTTTATGGCTATTCTTCTGTCCATTTAAACAAGCAGAATGTCAGGATAGCAACACATATTTATTTAAGTAAATAAAATTTCTTCCAGATTATGCTCCCATTTTTATTACTAAACAACAAACGATTGTCGTGTTAAAATCCTGTTGGATTGATGTTGAAAGAACTAGGTCATGAGATCGCGTAACTAAAAGCCTGTATTGCTGTCACACACGCAGACAAAAAGACCAAAATATCAAAACCATGAGTGCAAAACTATATTCAATATATTTTGTGAGAAACTAATAAAGCCAGTGTGATTTGGATGAAAATTAGATCGTATTGGGAACATAAATTTGTAATGAATATTCATTCGCTTACACGGAAATAAATCAATTAACTCATAATAAACATTCAAAAGAATTTCCTATTTACAGGTAACGCCATGTAATATTCAGAAAAATAAAGAGTTGGAGACACCGTTATGTGATTCAGATCAATACAAGTAAACATGTTTGGTGCATGTGGTAAAATAGAAAAAAATACAAAATTAGTAACATCTAAGTCCAAAATCAAACATAGCCTAAACACACAGGGACTGCATTGTCAAGATACGAAATACATCGCATTACTTAGACAAAGGGAACAAACACACCACGTAGTAAACAGAAAATACACAAAAGTTACTGTAACAACAAAACAAAGGAGAGAATTTACTAAAATGCAAACAAACAGCGACAAAATATATCATATCACAAACAAACAGCGACAAAATATATCATATCACAAACAAACAG